AAATGGAAGTGAGCCTCGTCCGAGAACAACATATTATTGAGCGAAGAAAATCGATTCAACATTTCATTCGCAAAGTTTAGTCTCTGAATAGCGTCATTATCTTTTAATTCCTGCACTAACTGAATTTTGTAAGCGTGCAGACGTAAATCGTTCCTTAAAATCCGCTGTAAAGATGTTCTGGGTACGTGTAGTGCACTGGAACGCTTACGAGTAGACTGGGTAGGATTTTGACGAACAGACTGTGCCACAATGTTGATGTTTTCTTCAATACGAGTTGTCCTTGGTCGACCCCACCGCTGTTTATCTAACATCGAACCAGTCTCTTCGAACTTAGCAACCCAGTTCTTAATCGTTTGAGCTGTTGGACACTTTGTAAAATTGTGTAAATTGTGGTATTCTCGATATTTACGCCGCGCAATGGTTGCCAAATCATTATTTTGATAAAACGCGCGCACACAAAAAGCACGATCCGCTCCAGTGAAACACTCCATGGCGACTGAATTCCCAGACACTGAAGATACTGCCCCCACCTCGCCCGCGCTGCTCACGCTCACCCGTTAAATTTTATTCGAATTTGAAATTTCAAAGGACTTATGGACCACCCTGTATATTATTCACTTGAGCATATTGATATGCGAGTTTCCGAACTTGAGGTTAAAATATAAACAAAAACGAAACATCAACAATTTTACTACTGTCAATAACTATTAGTATTGAAGAATTATTTGTATCAAATTGGGTTTGTTCACTTACCTGAGAACGACACAAATTCCTTATTAAATTCAGGAAAATATTATAACGGACACCATGAAAACAGCTGTTTGCGTATGACTGCTACAGAAGTAAGAAGGCTGGTCAACTGCACACTAATTTTAATGCGGGGCATTGATACCTAGATGGCGCCAGCAGAAACACTTCAAAAATTAATTCTGTTACTTAAATATACAGGGTGTCCGCAAAGTTGGGGTTTTCCTTTTCAGACCCTTGAAATAACAAAGGTAATGTGTAGTGAAACGAGGGCGACCAAGTAAAGAAAAATAAAGGAATAAGTACTCACTCTCCAGTTGACGAGAAGGGCTAAGTACGTCTCTGCCCGAAATCATACCGCTCCAACAGAAAATGAAATCAGCTGATGCGCTACCGAGCAGACGCAGGCAAACAAGGAAGGCAAAATGTTGCGTAAAAAGTCTAGGTATTGCATCCCGTCCAATCGATTTGGGAGAATAAATGGTACAATGAGCATACCGTTCACCATGCCATCCCAAACATTCACCGAAAGTGTTTGTTGAAAATGTGCCCGACGGACATCGTGCGGATTTTTTACTGACCAAACATGAGTGTTGCGAAAGTTATTCACCCCATTACGCGTGAACGTAGATTCGTCTGTCACCAATATGCACTTCAAAAAGTCCGGATTATTGTCATGTTGATGCAACAACCACTCACAAAACCGCACTCTTGCTGGAAAATCGTCAGGTTGAAGGGCTTGTACGCGTTGGACGTGAAACGGATATAGCCCCTCTTCACGCAGCGTTTGCCACACTTTTTGATACTTGCACTTCTCTAGCCGCGTCTCTAGTGCTTGTTGAGGGATTCTCGTCTACGCGATTACCTCTACACGCGTGACCGTAACCGTCGGTTGAAGGTTGCATACTGACCTGACACACTGACCCCGACCCAGTTCTGTCGTCGGGTTGAGCCAGTGGCATTGTACCAGTCGGTGATGTCGCGGCTACAGGACGGTATTCAGATATGTTTGATGTTGCAGAGCCCTTTATCTCGGTTCCCTTAAGACATTGGTGTATATGGTACTAAGAAAAATTGCACGTCGTGTAAAGGAAAACCCCAACTTTGCGGACACCCTGTATATTAAATATACATCTTACCCCGTTCGTCATCTTACCCCAATCTCCTCTACAAACATCTAAAACAACGGAAATGAATTCCTGAAGAAACGGGGATATCTTTGTAGTCCTTCAAATCAACCGGAGTGACGAGGCATGTTAATTTAAACCTTCGTTTATCAACTTTATCAGTAAGAGGCATCACATTATTATTCGCATTCTTTCCTGAAGTCTTGAAAAGCCTCATCACCTAGGGCTTGAAGAAGGCATGTGGAATGGGGGGAGGGTAGAATAACAATTCTTTGTGCTAAGAATGTAAGTGAAATTCGGAAGAGTCTAATAAAGGATTTTAAGCAAAAAGAAATAATTTTAATCATTGTTGTTACCAGGATACTACAAGAATTTACAACAAACATTTCCACCACTTCCTGTCCTGATACAGAATTTTCGACTAATTCAGACTTGACTAGACTTTATTAACCACTTGGATAGACAATAGTACATGGTAAAAAAATACTCATATCAAAAAATATCGTCCCAGAAGTCGACGTCAAGCGGGAAACGGGGGATAGGCCAAGTCGTAATAGATATAAAAAGAAAAATACGTCCTGGACTTTTCAAATTATAGGCTATAAAAAAATCGGAAAAATATAGAACCTGTGATGATATTTTAGTTCCCATTGCTACAAATTTCTATTTTTGGAGGAGTGACGGACAGTATCATTCTAATAGTGACAGAAAGACAGATAGTAACGCTACTTTAATAATAATAATAGTAATAATAATAGCTTTATTGTCCAACAGTCTCCTATTTATAGGACAATTTATAAACATAATACAAAAGCAAAAAAAAGCGAAAAGAAAACAACAAATGCAATACAGGTATAAATTTGCAACATGGTCCGAATAAGCCTTAGCTGCCTTTAGCAGGAAATTAACATTTGTCGTAAATATACTAAGTGACATATAAATCCGAACACCCAGTTTAAATGGTTTTATTTTAATAAAAGTTGGTGAATGTATTTATCTTACTGTAAATAACAAGTGAAAAAATTTTCAGCCTTATCAGTTGGACATTCCGGTTTTTATACTGCTTTTTTTTAATTTACTAACGCTCTAAAAATGAATATTTCAGCCGTAGTAAAGAATCAACGTTGGCGGATTTTGGTTCTTGACATCCTTTACGATTGGTTACGATGCCTAGAGTACGGAGACCTGTACGATTTCGTCAATTTAGTGAGTTTGATAGGGGTCGTATAGTGGAACTTCGGGAAGCTGGACTTTCTTTTCGGGCAGTTGCAGTTACAGTGCAAAGAAGTGTAGACACTGTGGTTAGGTGTTGTCAGGCATGGCTTCGAGAAGGCCGTACGCAAAGAGCAAGGGGCACTGGACGCCGCCGTAGAACAACAGACCGTGAAGATCGCCGTCTAAGATTATTGGCCTTAAGGGACCGTTTCCCCACTACTAGGTCCATTGCAAATGAATGGTTTGCAGAACACGGAAGACCTATTGGCATGCGAAGTGTTTACCGACGAATGAGAACTTTTGGCTTGTTTTCATACCGGCCACACTGGGTCCTCCCTTTAACTCGAGAACACCGACGTAATCGCCTTGAGTGGTGCAGACAACGGTCACTCTGGGATCAGGAATGGAACAGTATTGTCTTTAGTGACGAGTCTCGATTTTGTTTAGGCATGCACGATGGTCGTGCCAGGGTTAGAAGGCGACGTGGTGAAAGGAGGAATCCATAGTTTTTTGTTCAAAGACATGTTCATCACACTGTTGGAGTTATGGTTTGGGGTGCTATAGCTTATGGTTCCAGGTCACCTTTAATCTTCATCAGAGGTAACATGAACGCGCAGCGTTATATCCACGAAATTCTAGAACCCCATCTTTTACCCTATCTTGACACCCTGGCAGATCCAACTTTCCAACAAGATAATGCCCGACCACATGTTGCAAGAGTCACAATAGACTTCTTTCAACATAATGATGTCACATTGTTACCATGGCCACCAAGATCTGCCGACTTATCCCCAATTGAGCACGTGTGGGATATGATGGGTAGGAGATTGCTCAATTTGCAACGTCCTCCTCAGACTCTAGAAGCACTTCGAGAGGAGTTGGTGGTTGCCTGGAATGAGATACCACCGGAGGACATTGACCACCTGATCAGGGTGCATCCACACATTATTAAAGGTCAAAGGGCTTTAAAGCAGTGCAATCATTTTGAAATTTTTATCATTTATTCATTATGCTTCATTAAGTACTTATACAAAATTTTTTTAAAATAAAACCATTTAACCTGGGTGTTCGGATTTATATGTCACTTAGTATAGTATCCTTGTGATTGAACTTCCTACATTTGTGTGTAATATGTAAGATATTGTGTATTTTTGATATTTGCACTTTGTCCTACTCTGGAATTGGCTTTGTAGCTGTTGGGTACAGTATAAATAAATAAATAAATAAATACTAAATCACGATAATGCTCCTTGTCACACAGCAATGTCAATAAACGCGTAAAAAGAGTCCCGTGGCTCATCAGCCTCCTTATTCGCCTGACTTGAGTCCTTGTGACTATTTTTCTTCCCGAAGTTAAAAAATCACCCCAAGGGAAGTCATTTTTGGACAGTCGGAAACAATCAAACGGCTATAACCAACCAGGTGAAGGCAATTCCACTATCCAGCACTGCTATGAGGAGTATAAGTACAGTCTCCAGTGCTATGTGGCTTCAGAAGGACGCTGTTTTGTGGGTCACAATATAAAAGAGTAATTATATTTGAATACAGCAATTAAACAAATCAGTCTCACTACTCAATTTACAGACATATCTTATACACATTTGCTACGTGTTCACAAATTTATAGTAACTCGTTCTTACCTGTGTTGGGGATATGCACAAATAAACTTTATTTTTATAAAATAACGAAGGTCTAGCCGTCGTGGGTCAAGTTAGCTAAAAGATTCTACTTGGGGTAAAAAGTTAACCAAGCGCCACCTTCAAGTGCCAGCATTAAATTGATATCGGATTTGGATCTTCGCAAGCGATTTACACCACGTATCCAGATCACGGATGCGCAGTGGTTTTGGAATGTTTTCTCATAGAAAAAAGAAGCTTGTAACACTCTATTAATAATATTTTTTCTTTTCAGCTGGATTTACAACTTCAAGATGACGCGGGAGGCGATATAAGTAGCTTCATCACCAATGGAGAATGGGATTTATTGGGTAAGAATATTTTAAAAAAACATCATACTGCAGACCAGACTGTCAGAACGTATGGAACACAGCACGCTAACATTGCACCTACACATTTACTTCAATATTTTTGCCAGGCGCATGTTGCAAACTGAAGGAACATCTTGCAGATCGTATACAATTCTGCCACATGTGCCCAGTACATGACGCAATGCATGTTGTGAAGCAAAGTTTTAATGGAAGCTTACATTTTCTCAGGTGTGCCAGGAAAAAGAAACGAGATCTATTACAACTGCTGTCCTGAGCCATACATAGATATCACTTTCGTCATCATCATTAGACGGCGAACTCTCTACTACTTCTTCAACCTGATAGTACCTTGTGTTCTTATCGCTTCTATGGCAGTACTAGGCTTTACTCTGCCACCAGACTCTGGGGAAAAACTCTCACTAGGTAAGTCGATTTCTTAATATTATACATACTTGTATTGCCTAAGACACTGGCAAAGAAGTATTATAATAGCGAAAATGAGATACTAAGCTTTTTGCTCATTTGTGCGGATCATTCTTATTTATTCAGCAAATAAAGGACATCAAACAGAGAAAGTCTCCAAAATAGACATCCACAGTATAGTTAAACATACTAAGTATTATTTATAATCTAGATATATGAAAATACAACGGTATAATATTCAATTCAGTAACGGGAAGCATAAAACAGAAAAAGGGAACGTAGCTCACTAGGAAGTGACCGATATTCTGTTTTTTATCAAGTACTCAAACTTTAACATTTCACAAACAAAAATATCAGCGAATTTACCAGAGTTGTTCAGATTTCTTGTATTCGTACCAGTGGAGATTTTAAACCGATATTAGTTCCGCAAAACGGAATATTGAAGTATGTACAGTGTCTAGGATTCACTCTTATTGGTACATTTATATTGATTTTAGATGAAAAGTAAACGCAGTCAATTTAGTTGTTCAAGATTCTGTAAATAAAGCATAAATCGGATAAAAGGGACAGAATATATTTCTTTACAGAAGTTAAATGTAAAAATGTATGTTTGTTATGTAATACATCTGTTTCCGTTGCTGAAAAAGGAATATCAAGAGGCACTACAAAACTGTACCGTTCTATACATACTAGACCTCAATACCAGCCCTCCCAGCTAAGTTAGGTATGACCGTAACATCTTGTTGTTTCAAAATCCTCGACGTTGGACCCCAGAAATCCTGCAGCTCATTCAATCCCGCGGGTTAGATAGGCGGGATACATTAATCCCGAGCAAGTTCACACATACAGACTATAATATTAATAATACGAGGGCCGTTTGATAAGTCAGTGACTTTTTGAATTCCCCGCGCAGTAACTTTGAATGCAACACTGCAGAAGTCAACTGCCATCTTTTACATGACAACTGTGAAAATTTGAAAAAGCTATGTCATTTCATTTGAGTTTGACATCCGTTGAAAGTAGACAGTCTCATGGTTTGCAGAACACGGAAGACCTATTGGCATGCGAAGTGTTTACCGACGAATGAGAAGTTTTGGCTTGTTTTCATACCGGTCACACTGGGTCCTTCCTTTAACTCGAGAACACCGACGTAATCGCCTTGAGTGGTGCAGACAACGGTCACTCTGGGATCAGGAATGGAACAGTATTGTCTTTAGTGACGAGTATCGATTTTGTTTAGGCATGCACGATGGTCGTGCCAGGGTTAGAAGGCGACGTGGTGAAAGGAGGAATCCACAGTTTTTTGTTGAAAGACATGTTCATCACACTGTTGGAGTTATGGTTTGGGGTGCTATAGCTTATGGTTCCAGGTAACCTTTAATCTTCATCAGAGGTAACATGAACGCGCAGCGTTATATCCACGAAGTTCTAGAAACCCATCTTTTACCCTATCTTGACACCCTGGCAGATCCAACTTTCCAACAAGATAATGCCCGACCCCATGTTGCAAGAGTCACAATAGACTTCTTTCAACATAATGATGTCACATTGTTACCATGGCCACCAAGATCTCCCGACTTATCCCCAATTGAGCACGTGTGGGATATGATGGGTAGGAGATTGCTCAATTTGCAACGTCCTCCTCAGACTCTAGAAGCACTTCGAGAGGAGTTGGTGGTTGCCTGGAATGAGATACCACAGGAGGACATTGACCACCTGATCAGAAGCATGCCTAGGCGCGTTGGAGAATGCGTAGCACATCAGGGTGCATCCACACATTATTAAAGGTCAAAGGACTTTAAAGCAGTGCAATCATTTTGAAATTTTTATCATTTACTTATTATGCTTCATTAAGTACTTATACAATATTTTATTAAAATAAAACCATTTAAACTGGGTGTTCGGATTTATATGTCACTTAGTATATATTAATAGAAAGGAATACCAAGAATTGTAAGATAACATTCTTTCGGGGAATTTTCGCGTTCTTACGCGAATGCTTAAGCCCCAATTTTTCTGGAAGAATAGGGGATTCCGTTTTTCGTGATTGCAATCGCTAATCCCAGCATCTCGCAACGAGACAGACTTTGCGTCGAGTAATAGTGGTACATATTTCACGAACTGTGATTTAGTAACTGATATTTCTTAATCACAAATCACGACTGTTATCAATACCGGGAAAAAGCGTGACGTGATCACGACTTCGGGAACTAGCTGCTTCACGGCAAGGCACTGTTACCAACACTCCGTGCAAGGTTGTCAAATGTCCCTAAAAGTTCCTTTTTTTCATTCACAAATGATGTCACACTGCTAGTTGCTATTCGGAAGCACAATTTGAGTATATAAAAAATGGCGACAAATGGGTTAACTCTGCACTTCCTACGCAACGCCGTCATTAGTTCATAAAGGATTGAGCTTAGCGCAATTTGAATCCCCCGACAAAAAATGAGTTACGGACATGTACAACTGAGAAATTAAACGTATTAAGTCATTCAAGCAGGTTTATACAATTCTATAGACATTCTTTCCCTAGTGGTAGTTATCGACCATATTTCGGATTTTGCTGAAATGTTTACACAATGTTGCTACCATTCCAAGGACAAATAAGCTTTGTACTTTTTGAAAACTGGTCCAGTGGTGGCGGAGGAAAAGAACAAAAACAAAAAAAATTGCGCTAAGAAATCCTACTCCAGGTGCAGAAATAAATTATAATAAGCTTTTAAAACAAGAAAGAGTTATAATTGAACGCTGTTTCGGCCAACTGAAACGCCGGTTTCCTATCCTACAGTATGTTTACCGCGTAAAGTTGGAAAATATGCCGAAAATAATTATTGCTTGTATTATACTCCATAATGTTGCGAAGAGCTTGGGCGATCCTGACTTTGAGTTAATTTGAACAAGACCCAGATGAAGATGAAGGAAATCATGAGAATTACGAACTTCCTCTCCGCCAAATAAGAATAAACTTGAGTATTATAATAAATAGTTTTACTGATTAAAGTGTATTTATAAGTTATAATAAGTTTTATTTTCGTGAACATCATAAGTTCCAGGTGGTTGGTACTGCTGTAATAGCACTAGACGTTGCAGTTCTTTTGTAGTTAACCCTTTGGTTTCCTCAGTATCGTATTTCTCTGTTGCTAATTTTCTTTTTGGTGTCAATCTCTTCTGAATTGCTGGCGCTGTTATTCTAACTGTTTGCTCACTGCGCTCGGTATATAGTTCACTTCCTTCTTCTTGAACACTACCAACCTGAATGGCACCTCTGATTATCCCAATTGTAGGATTACAGTCACCTTCCATAGCTTTCAGCAACTTTCTTTCCCAATCTAACAATTTAATTGCTTTATTACCAGTTTTTTTAGATCTGTGTCTTTCTTCAATCTTAATTTCGTGTTGTTGATTTTTTTTTAATAAGCCTTTAGTATCTAATGGTTTACCGAATGCTGATTCGTATTTTTTCAACATCTTCAAGGCATCGCCCTTTCTCATTTTTATTTTTGGAACTTCTGACTTTTGCAAAATAAAGGGAGCAATGGAAATTTCATCTGCGATGAACTGCAGGTCGTTGCCATTATTATCTATAGTTTCCTCATCACTTCAGGATTACATGCTTATCAATTTGATAAAAAACTGTATCCAGTAAAAATACGGAGCGGTCTGTGTAAGCTCTGGAGTACAACTGTCAGTGATGCTGAGTGAACGAACTCCCACGTCAACTACAAGCTGGAACAAGTCAGGACATGTCGCTCAAGATACAAATACCAGTCACCCTGTTACTTCTTTTTGGAGGATATCCTCGCGAGTATAAGGTAATCATTATGAATATGAAAACAAGGATGTGCTTATACTTCTACCTTTTTCTCCGAAGCAAGACCTTATGCTTCCGAGGATATGCTTCTCTTTTATGAATACGGCTCATTGAAACGATCTCACATGTATTTAGCTCCAAAACTGTATGAACAAATAATAATTTAAGACAATTACGTGACACATAAAGTTTAAAAAAAAATGCAAAAGTGGATTAACCCGCCTGGGAGAAACAACATTCATAGAATAATCTCAAATATCACTCAGTAAATAGCAAAAATAGGCATTTTTTTCTTTGGATAAATTATGTATATTTATTTACTCATTTCATGTTACCTGTTTTGGTAGAGTAAATTAATATTATTATTATTATTATTATTATTATTATTATTATTATTATTATTATTATCTTCAAATACAGGTTAATCCAATTTTAACAGGTTGCTTTTCTGACTGGCATAGAAATAATGAAGGAAGGGTATGTTACTAGCTACTGGAAGGATGACCAAGGACAGAGAAAAACTTGACCATCGAGTCAAGGTCACGTGCACCTTTTGGGGTTTAAACATATTTTAATATAGATATATCACATTTAATACAGGTTTAGTCCAGTTCAATTATGGAAAATTAGTACCATGTTGAAAATGTACAGATAGACATGAGAGTTGCAACTTGTTTCTGACTGGCATGAAACTAATAAAGGAAGGGTGTATTACTGTAGGGATTCTAAAGCCGAGCCCGGCGGTCGAAGACATCGTTGCCTGGCAACAGCGGGTCAAGGTCACGTGCTGCTTTCCGACTTGAAAATCTATCTTTAAATACATTCCTTATTCATATCCACTTGATACAAATTTGTATACAGGGTGGCGCATCGAAAACGAAACAGACGCATTTACTGGCAGCTCAGTTTTTTTTTGGAAAAACACTCAGACCAGTCGATTTTGTTTTCGAGGGGGACACAAGTTTGGCAAAAAATCACGTTAGCACGTACAGCCCCCTAAGCGGGGGGTGACACCACCCCCAAAATCTTAAATGGAAAGGGGGGTCGAGTGATACCTTATTTTAAAGGTCTTTCAATTTCCTTTATAATACCATGGTTAATTTATGTAATAAAGCGTTACAAGTTATTTTAACAACAAAGTTTGGTCAAATCAATCACAAACTATGTACTAAATTCCGATTTAAAATAA